AGATCATTAATTTGCCCGAAAAAGTTGATGAAGAGAAATTACCCATAAACGCGAGTGCCATGACTGCTAGTCCCAGGTAGACATAGTACAAACTGCACTGTTGAAATAAAACAAAGCATGATGAAGTTAATAATATATACAAAAGAATTGAACACTATTACACTTAGAAATTAATTACAACTAGTAACTAACAAACCTTTTCTACTTCATCCATAAAGTTGTGAGACGTGTTGCCGTGACCCAAACTGTTGAAAATCCGGCTAAGGTACACGAGTAACCAGTTTGAAGCCATTCCATCTCCAATAGCACCAACTGTGCCCATGATCATCAGCAAAATATCTAGCCGGTCAGCGGCATACAGAAAAATTATGGTAATTGAACTTCCCATAATACCCTTCTTTGCTGCCATGTCTAGCCCTTTCTCTGTATAACACATTTCAGTTCACTTCATTTAAGTAAAAGTTGTTGAGAATGTATGCATGAGGCGATCATTAATTTTCTTGTATTCTAGTAAGTTAATTATATTATCCACCTCAACTGATCATGGACTCCTATAATGTGATATATATAGCATGAGGGGGTTATGTATGAATAACATTTCTTATTTATTTATTTATTTTTTATTAAAATTAAATATTTTTTTTGGAGGAATTTTGGGAATGCTAGGTACTATTTTAGTGCCTTGGTGGATGTCACTATTAGCTTAGTTCCAAAGTATGTAAGTGGTTAGTTATGGCAAGTGACGTTGCTTTGGACTTTGGTGGCCAGTTACTTTGTGAAGCGTTGAATAGTTTTAATTAGAGTTAAATTATTTTACTTCAAATTGTACACTGTAAAAGGGCACGCATTTACCAGAAACAGATACTCGGTTTCACACTTGTGCAAGAATATTCCTTTTGCTGTCCTCTCATGTTTCTCAATTTGGAGTACTGGTTTATTAGTGGAAGCTAACATTATGTTGTTTTTTTGTGAGTGGTGCTTAGTGATGGGAAACATAAAGCTGTTTGGGGTCTAACTGTTGAGCACATTTAACACATTTAACACACATTCAAATTCTCATATCTTTGTTTCAATTGTTATTCAAGGCAAAGTTTACTTCTAGGTAGCCCTAATTAATTATGCATTGTTGTTATCTATACTAACTTTAAAAGGACGAGTGTTTTTGTAAAAAAAATAAACAATCTAAAAAATCTTACTTAATAATTTTTTAATGGCAAATTAGTAATATATTAATATCCATCATATATTATATTTTTAATTAATTACTAATATTCTACCTAAAAACCTTACTTTGACATATTTTTAATGTCAAATTAGTAATAAACTAATACTCATCAAATTATATATTTTTAATTAATAACTAACATTTAATTAATTAGTTATGAATACACGAACAAAAAATTTCACATCTCGTAAAATGAACCACAATATTCTCGCATCATTATTCATCACGAATTTATTTTCTTCCACATATCTCTAAAACGACTTTTTTCCATATCTTCCAAAAATGAACCCAACGTCAACCCAAAAAATAAAACTTTGAAAAGATATAGAATTGGTATTTTGAAAAACGTCCTTATTCTTGATATAATTTTGATGATGAAATTATAATCACATTTAATAATTCAAATATATAAAAGTTCTTTAAAGAAAACTAATCCAACAAAAACAATATAATAAATACTTATAAAGAATCCAAATATTTTCTATTTTTTTACCTATCTATAATTTTAATAAAAAGTTAAAACGATAAATCTTGGTAAAAAAAAAAAGGACAACTTAGTTGAGTGGTAACTTGTATATATAAATAATTTTCAAGATACATACTTAACATTAATATTTTATCAAAGATTGAAAAAAAAAATCCTAAACTTTTTATCTTTTAAATAATATAAAAGTACATTTTTCTCAAATATATTATTATTATAAGTAAATAAATAAATAAATAATATTAAGTAGTATTTTAAATAAATAAATAAATAATATTAAGTAGTATTTTGTCTTATGTTATTATATTAGTTGTAGCCTAATTAATACTCCCTCCGTGTCTTTTTAGATATTTTAACTTAAAACCTCTAAATTACGATTTTAATGGGTTCTGAATTATCTTATATACTAATTAATCCTCTTAAATTTAGTGTTTGATTTATTAATGAGTCTTTTTTAAAGATAATGATAAGAGAAAAAGTTTTTATGTTATTCTTTAAGATTTGATAAAGTTTAAAGAATGAATAAAATATTTTCGACAACAACTCATTTGTAAAAAGATTGACATCCACATGTATACAAAATCAGAGGGAGTAAATAAAGATGTTATGGGATGAAGTTAAGTCAAGTCATGTGGGCTGAAAACCAGTGAAATGAGGTAGGCGTGAAGATTTGAGCAGTTAGTGAATGAAGTAGTGTTGCATCTAATTAAGCAATAAGCATGTGTACTGTTTGGGGTGTGGTCCCGAACAGTTGGTTATTATTACGGAAAATGATGCTGAAAATGTCAGAAATTGTTATGCTCATGCTTATTCCCTCTACTCTCCCTCCTCTCCTAGCCATAGTCATCTTCCTTCTAATTCTCTTTCTTCTCTCTCAAAACAGACTTAAATTTTTCTTCCAATATTTACAGAAAATGCAATTTACATAAATCCCCAAAATCAAGTCAACAAACAAAAATTACAATCCGATAAGGAACATAACATAAGATATTCTGATAACACCATCATTTTATAAACAAGTACAAAAAAAGTGATGCAATTAATAAATGTAAATATCCTATAATTCTTTCAACAAATGAAATATTATTTGGGATAGAATAAGAAATAAATAAAACAATAGTAATGCAATGGAAAAACGAAAAAAAAAATCTGAATCTATATATATATATAATAAGAATTTACCATTTTACCAAAAATAGTAGCAAAAAATAGATTAAAATTTAATGCAGCCTATAAATAGTAAGTTTTATTATTTTTCTTATTTTTTTTCTTTAAAAACAACATTAAATGCTACCTTAAATTTCGGGTTTTAGTTCATTTTATTATTTAAAAAATTCGACTAAGATTTATTAAGTGCGTATGTTTTTATTTTTATTTTTTTCTTAGAAACAACGAACAATAATAAAATATCGGTCTCTACATTATAAAATCTCATATTCAAAATATAACAAAAATTTTAGAATCTCGGTCTTTATATTTGTGCCTTTAAAAAAAATATTGAACGCTAAAAATATATTCTTTAAATTGCATAATCAATCAATTAATTTTAATTTTTTGAAAATTACTATGTTTATTTTTTATTAATATGAATAAAGTAAAAATAATTAATTCATCTTTAGATATATAATTTATAATCTAAGTATACTATCATTTGGTGTAGACATTTATTATATGAATCATTAAATATTTTTGTTTCATAAAATTAAATATATTTAAAGAAAATAAGAAAAATTTTTCGAATCAATCGGGTAATTGAATTAGGGTATTGCCCAGGTTGATTGAATTGCTTTTATGTGATATTTAAAATAGTCAAAAAACTTGACACAACTTGGATAGTACCAGGTGACTAAGTTATGTATCAGTTTGACCACACCAAATCGATTATTGAACCTAAATATAAATTTTATATTGAAAATATTTTATTACGTGAATGTGATGTAACCCAAACTTCAAATAATCATATTAACAATATTTTTATGACAACGTGTTTAATGATTTATGAATATTTACATATCATTTTCATTTTATTAATATTTATGTGAATTAAAATAATATTTTATTATAATATTTATTAATATACAGTAAATATAAGGTTTTCAGAGCTGGACTGTCATCGAAATGATCAAGCTATTTTATTAAATCTTTTGTGGTTTGTTCAGATTTTAATTTATAAACATTTTAATATATATATATGTAGTACCTTTTGTAATAAATTTAAATAAAATGTTACTTAGATATCTAAACAATTTATAAATTCAAATGTTTAAACTAATTGATAAATAATTTATAAATCTCTATTTTATTTAAATATGTAATATTATTTAAAATAATTTTATATATAACAAAATTTATTTATAAAATCGTATTGATCCTACCAGTCCATTCGACTGGTGTTGACGGATTCCAGAGCAAATATTTAATTCAAGCGAACTAGACTGGTTATAAACTAGTTCTCGGTCCATCCGGTCGGACTGTGTCCAACCCGGTTTAATTTAAAAACAATGGGTAAATCATGTTATTTATATATTTAATTTATAATACAATCGTAATATTGTTTTCCCGTGCATCGCACGGGCCACACACTAGTTTTCTTATATAAGTATGAATACAAATATCTAGAAACAAAAGTCTTTTAGAACTACTATCTTTTTATGTTGTTATCGTTAAATATATGGATTCTGTAAGAATTGGTTTTCATAAATAATGATTATATGTTATCAATTATGAATTTTATAATTAAAAAGTTATAAACTTTGTAATACATAACGTGGATTCTATTAATGAATTTCGTAAAAATAAAATTCACAGTTGACTAAGAGAACATGATATAATAGAATTCTAAGTCCTCTCCTTTTGAATATTTTAACAAATAATATGTTTCTCAATATTGTCTCATTGTTTTGTTTTATTTTGTTTTGTTGAAGAATCAAGAACGGATTTTTATCTTGAATTTTCGAAGTATTATGGATGATACAAAAAGTTGGACAATAAAAACATTAAAAAAGTCCTTATGCATATAAATATTGCAAATCCAAACGATATGTGAAAAATATTATGATAAGCAACTATAAATGTTCGGGTTTAGGTTGATAAGAGATTCTCACGGGCTATAAGATTTTCCAACACGTTTTGAGTTACTGTATCATATTCTTTTGTACTGCTAATCAATGGATATCGAGCTGGCTGCATCATACAAAGCAAATAAAAATGTGCTTATATATATAATTAAATATATTCCTGGTGTCAATTATGAAGGTGGAGCGGAATAGAACTAAATATTCATGTTTGCAGTCAGGGCCGTCTCCAGAAATTTGGAGGTCTCAGATAATTTTTTATTTTTTTTCGAAGTTCTCAATTTGAATTTGTGTGGTAAGCAGAGAAGAAAAAAACAACTAATTCAACAAGACAAGCTAAATAAATAAATAATTTTTCTTGTTTTTCATCAATCCTGAAATATATCTTGGAAATGATAAATTATCTTACAGAGATATTTAATAAATTACATTGAAGCAGTCACGAGGACATTAAGATAAAAAATAAAAAATAATATTACTGAAACTAATTATTCTAATAAAAATTGTTCATACCAAACATCATAAGAAAACAAATGAAATATTTAAGTTTTCAAATTCACAAATGAATTGCATATTTAACCATTAGCCTTTTTATTAATTAGTTTCTTCATTTCTGTAGTGGACCAGGTCCATATTTAGTCATTAGCCCTTAACCTTTTATTAATTAGCATCTTTATTTGTACAATAGTAAGTCAATATTTAGTCATTACTCATTCATTAATTAGGCCAATTTCATTTATTTAAATGGATCAAACCGTATTAACCAAAAAAAAAAATAAAAAAATATGGCCCTAAATAAATTGAGGCCCTACACAAGAGCCTCTCGCCTCCCCTGGAGCCGCCTCTCGCCTCCCCTGGAGCCGCCACTGTTTGCAGCATATGATGTCTTATCTCTTTCAATAAACGTAAATGTCTAGTTGTTGGGAATCTTTTTCGCGCAATTCCTTATGGTCAATTATTATTAGTACCATGCTTTGTGGCTACGCATAAAGCACAAATAACAATTTTATTCCCTTAATAAAATTTAATAATGTTCCCTAGTGCGATGATGTGTTTGTGTACTTTTTATTTAAAGTCTATACATATGAAATTGGAGTTGTTTGTTAGATATTTTCATTGTTGTTTTGTTCCCTTAATGAAATTTAATAATGTTCGTGAGTGCGATTATGTGTTTGTGTACTTTTTATTTAAACTTTATATATATGAAATTTAATGGCTAATAGTTTTTATTTTTTTCATTTGTGTATCGATATAAACAATATATAAAAGAAAGTAAGACTCTTTTTATTTCATTTTATTTTTCGANAAATTTAAAAACTTTGCTTTAGCCTTTATTTTATCCCACCACATGGTATATTCTCTAGTGTTTCATTCCTAAAGTAAATTCCATGAATTCATCGAGACTGTACCTGGAAACTATCCACGTAGCTTTTGCAAATCTTCAGTAAGCCACAGGGCCACAACGTGCCGAATTTCAAGAATAGTCCAAAATATATAAAATTATGTAAATGTTTTTTATAATATATGAGCTAATAATATTGTACATCGTGCATTTGGGAAAATGCTTGTGGTGAAAATCTTCTTCATGTGGGCTCTCAAAAAATTGGCACTTTATACACTGCTTTCAAAATAAAATTAGGCAGTAAACGTTATTAAGAGTGTGAATTATACATAATGTGGAAATGTAATAATTAGAGATAGTTTAGTTTTAAACTAATAAAATTCTATGCATGTAAAATTCAATTTTGCGAGTGGACATTTGTTGAAATTTCATCATGTTCAAGATATCATCTCAAATAGATATTTTTTGTATATTAAGATTATAAATGTTTTTATACTAAGACCGACGGCCAATGAATTAGTGGATACTAAGAATTAAGTAAATATATATAAATGCCAATGAATTGATCGAGGAAAAACCATACCTGGAAAACGATCTATATGCTTTTACAAATCTTTCGTAAATTTGATGTGCAATGCTTCCTTAGAGGATGCAGAAATTTCATCACGAACAATTCAAAACATATTAAATTCTGTAAATGCTTGAATTTTAGTAGATAAGATAAAATAATGTACGCACAACACATGTAACACTTGGGAAAATGTTTGTGGTGAAAAATTTCTTCGTGTGGGCCGTCAAATAATTGGCACATTTTTATTATAAGTAAAGTTAATTTAGCACAAAATAAAGTGGAAATGTATAATAAGTAAAGTTAATTTAGCACAAAATAATAAATTGCCATACATGCGTAATTGAGTTGTGTGTGTGTGGATACTTGGTGTAATTTAATTAC